AAAAAGAAAATAAAAGCCCACATCTTTAATTAAACCTACCTTTACTACATGAACAAAGCATGAGAAAGTAAAGCATTTTTATTCACGGTTGAGATGATTGCTTGAAAAAGCTCCGATTTTGTTTTTGATTGAACTATCACTCAAATTCAAGAGAAAATTTAGCATTAAGGAAAAACTCATTTGTCAAATGATTCCATAGTCTATCAAAATAGGCCTGAATCTCTTGACTTAATTCAAAATTTCCATCTATTTATGTAGTCAAGACAGCAAAGTGTGACTTAAAAGGTTCCGTTTGATGTTGATTTTCAACAAACAATCATATTGACAAAATCAACTTGTGGATAAATTTGCTGAAAATTAGTTGCGTTTATCAAGCAAGTAATCCAACTGTTTCCTTTTTTCCTGGTTTATAGACGCCAAAATGTCATCCAAGTCGAAAAACCTTCGTATTTTCTGCAAAAATGAGATCCAGCATGTCATTATTTTGAAAAGTTATTAATTCATGATCAATTTTCAGCAGGTGTTGCGATCAAAGAGGACACTTTTATGGTTTATTTTATCAAGACCGGACGCGTTAAGACGTTGCCAATCAATTATAAACGATTTGCGGATCACAACAGGTTTTTAGAAAAAAAAGTAAATCGGGATTTTTATGTAAAGCCAGCCATACATCAACAGCGATTGAAAAACAAGGTTTAAAAGCCACCTTTTGGTAAAAACCACAATTTGAAAAAGAAAGAAATCAATTCTTTAATCTCTGGTGATTATGTATTTAGGTTTTTTTATAAAGAAAATAGTTTTATTAAATTTTAGTGCCCTTGAAAAAAAAGCGGTATAGTAGAAAAACCAGCATTTTTCTTTGACTTTTGAGAAACATTTTTAAAAATTGTTTCAAGTTTGTTTCAAAATTTCCTGCAAATCGACATACAGGAAAGCTTACTGTTGAAATTAAAAAAACTAATATTGTTCAAATAACAGAAGATTTTAACACATTAAATATGGCAAACAAACGTTATCTGTTGCAGAAAAAACAGCAGATTTCATTTCACCCTGTATTGCTATTTATCATATCAGGTGATGTGAATAAAAAAAATTTATACACGAGCTAGGTTACTTAATTATTTTATACTAAGTCAAGGCCAATTAAGCGCACAAAAGCGCCCCGGAAAAACCTGACATTTTTGAACGCATAATATTTTAATCTGCGTCATTTCAGGAAGCTAGTGTCAAATTATCTCCTATATTTTTAATGTTAGGATAGATTGGTGCCAAAGGCGCCTTTAGAAAAATTTTAAGGTCAGACAGTCTAAAATGAATATGTCACAATAGTACCAAGGGGGACGCTTTCGGTCGGCATCGGCAGGGGGTCGTATCCCTGAGAGGTGGGGGGTATGGTCAGAAGCCGATTTAAGGGCCCTCGTACTCACGTGTTTTATATGTTTTGAAAATATCCAAAATAAAATAAAACGTAAGAAAACTAGTTGTTAATCGTCGTTCGAAAAAAAATAGGCTTTCTTGCTGTTCGCAGCTTCACAAATGTTCTGTGATAGAATTATACAATAGATTTTTAACCAATAACCAAAGTAGATAGTCTAGAGGTAACAGGAATGACAGGAAGGGGAGAGATGGAGGGTTCAGTTCTTGGCATTGTCTTTTCTTGCAGTTTCTATGCAAATACTAATAAGTTTTTGCAATGATCAGATTATAAACAGTCTAAAACAGAACTGGACCAACATTGAGTCATTAATTTGAAAGTGCTGCTGAAATCTTAGACTGAAATCTTACAGGGACTGAAATCTTACTGAAACATTTCTGAAAAACAGATATTTCACACTGCGAGACTAGAGAAAGCGGCTATATTGGGTGAGCATAAGATAATTTTAGACCCTAGTCCTTTCACATCATTTGAGAAAAATCACAGAAAAAAATCTATGAAAATTTTTTTTCCAGAACAAAACTAACCTCCTAAGTTTTCCGGGTTGATCTCCATACACAAAAAATGCTTGTAGAAAATCCGGTGTATATGGAAAAAGACGTGTATCATACAATTTTTATATATGAAAGAAGTATGAGAAGAAACTTTTACTTTGTAGCAAAAAAAATTTCCAAATTACAAAATTCAAGTTTCCTGGATTTTTCTTCCTATTTTCAGTCAAAATCACTTTTATGTTCAATGAACATGTTTAAAAAAAATATGCAAAAGTTTGTGATTTCGTCTTTATCGTAGACCAAACTGAAATTTTCATGCAAATGAAACAAAGGTGACCTTAAAAATTTGAGCAAATTCAAATTTGAAATGTTTTCATGCTTGACTCGAAATGATATACTTCAATGTGTCAAAAAAGTCAAGCCACGTTTACGACCAGCAAAACTTTTGGATAGAAATTTTCTAGCCCAATACAAAACTTTACCGTTTTTTCTTCTTAGTTCTGAGTGAAAAATATTTCATTTTTTCAAAGTAATTATCTAAAAAACAGACTATCCTTGAAAATTATCCCCTTATCCATTGGATTTTATTGTGCTAGATAATTCGCGTTTATTTTGTTTTCGGACATTACACAAAATTATTTAGCAAAACGTCAAAATTTACAAATTTTGTTTTCTTGAAATTTTGCTAGTGATACAACTTTCATGTATGAGATAAAGTTTATCAATGAAGCTTCAATTAAAATTCTGTACGTAGGGTAATTTATGTAATCGTATGACAAAAATTTCTTCACAAATTGCTTGACAATAATTTTTAATTACCACGGGTTTCTAATGCTGACTGTGCTGAACATAATTCTCGGTTTTTTTTTGCTTTTGCTTGAACTGGTGGGTTTTTCATGTATCTCCCCTATGATATCTAGTAACGAATTGACACCGCAATAATCAAATATTAAGCATATGTGCACTTTGTACCCAGTAAAGAATCTCCCCGATGCGTCAGGCGACAATTCGTAACAGGCGACAAATCGTAACAGTAGGTTAAGCGGTAACACTGATTCACGCGCAATATTCCTCTCGTGCCGGATATTAGTCCAGCGGAGCAAGCTTATTCTACTTGTCAATGCCTTGTCAACGAATTGTCGCTTGCTGCGAATTGTCGCCTGTTACGAATTGTCGCCCTTCCTCCCCGATGTTGTGACAAAATTTCATAAACCATTTCGGATCATTTCATTTATTTACCCCTTTTGCAAAAATTACAAAATGTTAAAGATATTCATAACAAATTTATTTTGCTGTGCACAAAATCACGACTCATTTTGGCCCTTAATAGGTGAAATCTTATCTGTAGTTTGCAAGGATTTGCAACAACAAAAAGGAGCAAATTGCCGACTACACAAGAAAAAATTGATCAATACCAAAAAAGGGTAACCAGTAGCTGTGCAAATAGCATAGAATATTCAAACCCCGATAGCACTGCAAAAAGGTACATAAAGTCTAAAATGCAAATTTGTTAAATCCTATTTTTCTTGTATATAATTACACATGAGACAAAACTGATAACTGATAACAATAAACTTAGATAACAATAAAAGTTAACAATTAATTCCGATCATTTTTTAAACATGAGACAAACTTCTGAAATAAAAAAAAGCTCATATAACTTGATCTTTGTAAAATGCGTTTCTGAAATACCTGAATCTGCGTCCTGACAGAGGTCGGCACATAGAAAAACTGAATTTTTTCAGCAGGGAGCTGGAAAATCTGTTTTTAAATTTAAAATTTGCGGAATTCTGGAGACAGATTGCTCGAAATAAAAGTTCAAGGGAAAACGCAATGTTACTTTTTTGAAACTAGTTTTTTATTGGAATTTTAGTAACCATGACAAAGCAATGCTAACTCTGGGAAGTTTTTAAGTTTTTGTTCAGAAGTATATTTAAAACACATAATTATACGATAATTTATCATTTTTTGCCAAGCTTGTTATAAGATGTATTTTAATATTTATGCAATAATTTATTTTTTACTCCCAGGTTTGTAAAAAAGAATCATTAAGAAATATAATACAGCGTAAAGATGTAAATTTTGAAAGCACCAATTGAAATTAGTTTTGAGAAAAAAACATCTGGTTAACATTCACCCTGTATGTTCAGTATTTAATTACGAATATCCTTCTCTATAATTAAACCAATTGTTAAACAAATATCTTACATCTTAATGAGTTCTTACTTTTTGCAAACGAGCGAATGGGGGTCGTTAATGGAATTCAAAAAAATCAATGATTTGAACTATTGAAAACAGGTGAAAGAACCATTTTAAATGGAAACAAGACTGCTCGTATCAGGGCGAAGCCCTGAATGTTCCGACTGCCTTTTAAGGTTTATTGAGCAGCAGTAATACATAAAAAAATTAAACGAAATAAAATTAAATGAAATTTTTTTCTAAAATTTGAAATTTTTTATGAAAATCATCCCCCCACACGCCATATCAAGTACAAAAAGATAGATTTCGTTCCTTGTAACAAATCAATTATGGCAAATAAGCTTCGTTCAACCAATTTGGAACGATTTATAAGACGGATTAAATCTCCGCTTACGCGTTAATAGCGCGAAATATTTTGCGCGTTAATTGTCTCAAATTGGTCAAAATGGCCAAAATGGCAATCTTTAAACCCTCATAACTTTACGAAAAATGATCACAGGTGAAATATCTTTTCAAATTTAAGCTCAGGACAACAATACCTTTTGAATGATATAAAAAAATTCCGTCAAAAATTGCTAGTTAAAAAGTCGAAATTTGTCTGAAGAAAAAAAAAAAACCCACCCCGAGCAAAAATATTCCGTTACTTTCGTATATATAGTATAGAACTCTAGATAATGATAGATGAGAAGACTAGAAATGGCATTTGGTTCTTGTAGTATCCTAACTACCACAGAAGTAGGCTCTTTTCAATCCCCTTAAAGCGCTCGTGTGTGTGTGGGGGGGGGGGAGGGGGTGTTGTGAAATAGTTTAGAAGTACACTTATAAAAATTTAATAACTTATGAGAGCAAGTTATAGTTTCTAATTGACTTACTAGAATTGACAGTGGATCCCGTAGTATCCCTCGTGACACCTACACACAGCCAAATCGGACCCCTCGTCCGAGATACAAGTCGAGTTCTCCTTACAAGGATTCCTACTCTTGTGACACCAGTCGGTCAATTCACAATTCTCCCCTATGAACCCCTCTGCACATTTACACTTGGGGTCACCTGAGTTCATGTCTACCTCACAAGTGCCCTCATTTAGGCACGTGACCAACTCGCAAGGACCCGCAACTTCACAGAACATTCCTAAAAAATAAAGACTTTTCAAATGTGACTTTTGAATATTCAGCCTGAGATAACTAAATCTGAAAAAACGCCAAAAAACAGCCAAAAAACAATAAAATTACACTAATATGTCTCTGGTATAAAACCACAACGATTGATTGAAAAGCTTTTTTTTCTATATTTGGAAAACCTTTAGTATATTTTACAACTCAGAAAATTGACAAAATACGTCTTTTTTTTCTGCTGGATTAACTTAAAAAATTCACCAAAAATTGATCCAAAAATCTGACATGAAGATATCGATTTTTGTTTTTTTTTTCAAAAATTGCGTGCATGCGAATTCTCCGATCCAACGTCTCAATATTTTCATTTTGCCTCAACATTCAAAACACTTTTTTCACCACTTTTATTATTTTCAGTCCTTATAAAAAAGGACACATTTTAAACACCATGCTCAGAACACTTTTTCTTTTCGGTCGCAATAAAAAAGGACACAGTATGAACACCAATTTGAATACATTTATTATCTTCAGACGTTACAAAAATGCCAGAGTTTGAAAACCTTTATGAATACGCGTTTTTTTTTCAGACCGTATAAAAAAGGACACAGTTTGGTTTTGAACACATTTTAAGACCACTTCTATAATTACCGCTGTTTAAACCCTCAGGTGATAAAATAAGCACTTGTCACGTAAGACGACGGAGACAAGTTACTATTTTTCACGTTCTTTTTCCTTTTTTTCGCAACTGGCGGGCGTTTCTAAGGAAGTAAAACTTAATTTCATGTCACTTTGGATTTGACTTCACAACTCTTCCTTATTCTTTCTTCTCATATATGTTTTTTGGAACAGTAGACAGTAGCGAAAGTAGAATCTTTACAATTTCATTTCCCCACAAAATCGATAAAAGTCATATTAAAAATACATTAATTCTCTCTAAGCCTAGCCTAGTGATTATAAAAGAACCCGGCTTGAATGAGGTTTTGACACTTATTTAGACGGGCTATGAGACGACTAAAGTGAAATCTTACCAGCGGATGGTAGTCTATATTTTTTCCCCAAATTTATCCAAAATTCGCCCCAGGCAACTTCCTTGTAGCTAGTAGTAAGCCCTCATTATTGATTAGGAACAAGCTACTCTGAATTCTGAATTTTAAGTTGTACTAGCCTATATATGGTTTAACAAACTAAACTATCACAAGGCAAAAATCCTCATATGCTTCAACGGACTTCATTGATTACCCCCCCCCCCCCCCCCCCCCCTTGGATCTAGTAATGAATTGCCACCTCTATAATGAACCACTTCTGAATTGTGTACTAATTGTGCATATTTGAATTGTGTACTTAGTAACGAATCTTCCCCTTTGTAAAAAAAAGCAGTTCAAGAGATCAGATCAGTTTCAACCAATAAGCATAGATTGGCAATCCAAAATTTCACGATCGATTCCAACCGTTCATACCGATCCATAAATTTATGTTTAAAATTGGTCTGATTAAAAAAAAACACCCCAATCATAAAAATATTTCTCTTTCATCGAAAGTCGATACAGTAAATTTAAAAAGCATACGGCTACAATCGGGACTAATTTAAGATGTCAAAAAAAGCACAAATATCTGGTTCCAACTGTCCATTATTTTTCTCAATAGCGGAAAATTTTACTGTTATAACATCTATTTTATGTTTGTTCGAAAAAAATCTGTCCGGTTACAAACCATATTCAGTACTTGAAGAAATATTTCGGTCTAAACATAAAAGGAACTTGATCTCTTCAATGGTTGTTTCAATTCATTTAGCGTGAACAACGATTCAATTACCAGTTGTAGTTCGATTACTGAGGCGTTGCAACTATTTCAAATCAAAGTGCTCTATCCTGATAAGTGCACTTGTTTCTTTCAGTCTAAATTAGGGCGCATAGTTGTTCTGTATTGTTGTTACCACTTTCACAAAAAATGATGGCATTTTTGTGGTCAGCTTTTGGGATATTGAAGACACCAAACATTACTAATATTATTGTTTGCTGTAAAAAATTGACTTTCAAGTTTTACGAGTGTATGCACTTGAATTACCGGATACAATAATCCTTAACATTTACAAAATTTAAAGAAAAAATGAAAAAAAAAACGCTTGCTCTGTAGCGTCACACTGAGTTGATTTAAAGACATTTTTAGAGACATTTTTAACAAAAAAGTTAGTTTGCATTTAAAATTATTTAAATTTTTTTTTTAGTTTTAGCTATGGCAATTTCTGTGTTGGAGCACGTAAGTTCAAATACTTACGTGCTCCAAAAACTGAAAAATTGAAAAACATGGATGCGGTTGCTTCAGTTTAAATTTATTGAATTTGGAAAAATAATTGGAAGCTTTCTAATAAAAAAATTGCGTTCAATTATTACCAGCATGTTTTTGAGCTACTGATACAGTCAGTAAAAAGAACAGGGGTAGATCTAGGATTTTCTCGAGGGAAGGGGGGGGGGGATTTTCAAAAGAAGTTCAAAACTTTTGTCGATCTTTTTTTAGGTCGACCTAATTGATTTTCCGAGTTCTCCCAAAGCCTTAAAAAGACACTGATTTGGCCAAATTTTCTGCGCCGCAAGCAAAAATTTGAAAAAATAACAGACCAAAAAGTGTTTTCAGGCACTTTTTGGAAAATATTGACCAAAAAGTCGGGTTTTTATTCGGGGCGCGTTCCCCAGTCAAAAATATTAGATGTGTAGTTTAGGGTCCTTGACTAAAATTCTCAAAGAAATACAAAAGGGGGACTCTTTGGTCGGCAGGGGGTCAAATCTCTGAGGTAAGAGCGCCGCCCCCCTAAATCCACCACTGAAAAAAAAATTTTTTCTTGGGGGCGTCCGCCCTCCTAAATCTGCCCCTGAAACAGAATTTCATACTTGGCCGAAGTCAAAAAATGAATGAAACCCAAATTAACGAAACAAACTTATTTTCTACAGTTTTACTTTTTAAATACAATTTTCAACACAGTTTTCAATTCATTGATAACCGACAATTTCCTAACGCATTAATAAATTAGCGTTTTAGATGATATTAAAACGAGATTTGAGTCTAAAAATTATCTAACAATTGCCGAAAAAAAACAAGAAGTCAAAAAAACGAGCGCAATTCAAGTTTTAAAAAGTTTTTGTTTGAAAACACCACTCATTCCCACAAAGCGTGGTAACTTTTGCTTGAAATCTACAGATTGTTTGGAAATAAATTGTGCCTTTTCTGTTCGGTGTTTCGATCCAGTTTTGCGAAATGTGACAGAACATTAGCTGTTTTTTTTTAAAATAAGATTTGCAAAATTGAGAATAACAGGGAAAAAAAGATTTTGAAAACAATCCACCAAATCCAACCACTTTGTATACTTTTTGAAGTTTCCGAAAATTTCCAACATGTGTTTTGTGTAAAAGAGTAGTTTTTGCATACAAAAACTATCTGAAAAAGCTATGTTACGCTTTTTATTGACAAAATCAATAAAAATACTTCAACAAAATTTCTTCGAAACGAGCGCTGTGAAACGAATAAAAATTTTTCATCAAAACTGCTTGTATCAGGTCGGAGCCCCGAATGTTTCGACTGCTTTCTAAGGTCTATGGAAGAGCAGTAATACCATGAAAAAAATTAAATCTAGAAAAAAAAATAAACTTTTTTTTTGTAAATTTTGATATTTGTTATAAAAATCATCCTCCCACACGCTATATAAAATATAAAGTGATAAATTTTGCTCCTAGTAACAACTCAATTATGCCGAATAAACTTCCTTTAATCAATTTGCAACGATTTCTAAGTTCTATGACGGATTAAATCTTCACTGACGCCTTAATAGCGCGAAATATATCGCGCGTTAATTGTCCCAAATTGGCCCGACTGGCAATCTTTAAACCTCCATAACGAAAAATGATCACAGTTTCAAATTTAAGCTCAGAACAACAATACTTTTTGTATGATATAAAACGGCTGGTTAAAAAGTCGAACTTTGTCTGGTTAAAAAGTCGAAGAAAAGCAACCCGAGCACAAATATTTCGTTACAGTCCCATAATAATTTGAGTTTTTTTGGGACTGTAATTTTTCGCAATTTTTCTTTTTTCCATAACACACAAGCATTAATTTTTTTTCTCTTTTTCCCTTGAAATTAGCGCAAAATAATATGACGAAGCCAAAAATGACACTCCCATTCCATATAAGCTCAACAAACTTTTAGAGAATAAATGAACGTAAAAAGGAAAAGAATTCATTCAAAATCAGAGGTTGCAAGTTTACAAATTACCAGAGCGAATGAAGTTGCCTTTTAGTTCTAGCAAACATTGCTTCCAGAAGAAGACATGTCATAATTTGGAAAGTGAGCCGATCAAAACTAAGCTGACAAGTCATAATTAGATATTTAATTTTCAATAGGAAAATTATCATTACGAAAATAGCTCCTGGCTAAAATTGAACTCATAAGCTTTGTCGTCTTCAGCATGGATTTTATCTATTACAATGTTACCTATAAGCTATTACAATTTGGTACCTCGACATTGATAAACTATTAAAGTAAGCTGAACAAACAATTATTGGTGAGCAAAAACTAAACCAAAAAATAATCTATTTTGATTTAATAACGCTGGCGATTTCAAAATTTTCGAACTTGAAAAAAATGTTGAAATTTTTAAAGTAAGTCATTTGTGTTTTTTACTTTTTTGATTAAAAATGATTGTTTGCAAATTTTCACCTGCAGTTCCCGGGGGACATTCGCATTTGAATCCGAGCTGAGCCGAGGAGTCCTCGCGACACTTTCCCCCATTCTCACAAGACACATACTGACACTTTTCCATCTGTTCACACACTTTGCCCTTGTATCCATCTCCACATGCACACTCGAACTCACCTTCGCCTATGAACAAGTTCAGATGCCGGTTCACACTTAAGTTCTGTTTCATACGAGAATAAAATATAAAAAAATAATTCGAATTATTATTTTTCACTTTTATGGACACTGATAATTGAACAAATTTAATCGATTTCATCCATGGAACTCCAGCGCGGGTATGTTTCGGTAACAATTAATTAGATATGTTCACTTGCTTATATAAGTAATATACCTAAATTAGTGCACACTCCGTCATTCATGCACGGTTCCTCCTTGCACGGATCCCTCTGTCGCTCGTCGCAGTCGGAACTATCTGTGTACTTGTCCCCATTAGGGCAGACACACTCGAACTGGTTAGTGGTGATGTTGATACACTCGTATGGGTTGCAGGGCATGTTGACACATGGGTTGTATTGTTCACACGCTGGTCCATAGTAGCCCAAGTAGCACATACAGTTGAAGTAGGGGTACTCGTTGATGTTAGTACATGACCCCCCACTACACACTTGAGTGCTGCAGGCTAAATAAATTCAATCAGGCATTACCTTTAAGCAAGACAGTTTTTCTCAACACCGACAAAAATTTTGCGAATTTCGAATTACGTTTTACTTCAACTGTACAAGTTACGTTGTTCTCGCTAGAATTCTTAGCGAGAAAAAACCAAGGTCGTAACTAATGAGTTTTCTGGTGAACGAAGAACAGTGTGTGAAAAAAGACGAAAACTGAAAGATTGAAACAAAGTTCACGTTCAGGCGCCATTTAAAGTTGACTTTTTAATGTTTTGATTTTGCGTATTTTATGGCATTGAATTCTGCTTTTAAATACCGAAATTTATGGCAGTTCATTATTCTTTGTTGACTTGTAATTTCCGACAATTACGGTTAGTTTACGTATGAATTGAAATATGGTCAATCGGCCAGCAACCCGAAACCGATCTACCTCAGTACCGAAACGAGGCAAAAATATACGTCTTGCTTGCATTCCGAAATACGACTGAAAACGTTTCAATTAAGTATATCACTCGAATCTATCTAAAGTTTTAGCGTGGTAGGTATACCAAGGCCAGTAGCGTGCCGTAGCGACCGCCTCCCCCTCAATTCTGGTTGCCAAATTTTTCCAAAGGGTACCTACCCCCTTTGGTATAACTTTATGACATCCATATTTCGCTAAACAACTTCAAAATTGTTCTAAAGGCGCCTTGGGCGCCAATATGGCTAATTTTGAGGGGGGAGGGCGAGCCGAAAAAAGCTATAAAAAATATAAAAAGCCGTAAAACTATTTAAAAAATTTCGAAAAACCGCCCCCCCCCCTCATTAAAGTTTCTGCGCACTCTACTGACCCAGGCAAAGCCCTCAATACTCTGAGTGCCCATTAATTGGTCTCAAGATAAACTGTAAATTTTAGACTGCAAATACATCAAGTATTATGTGCTAAAATTTGTCTTATATGGAATTAATATGCTAATTTGATTTGCCTCAGTGTAAATTGGAACGATTGTGAGAGCGGGGATAGTTAGCCTGCAAGGAAATTTTGCATATTATTAAAAATAATAGGTATCAATTGGGTAGTCGCCAGCGTAGTTAGCTAATGCAAGCACAACTGCTCGGGAATCGCAAGACACCAAGATTATTTGCCACACTCCGACAGTTTTTTTTGTGACATCGGTTAGCTATAAAACCACCTGAGTCATTAATATTCTTCCCTTCGGTCAAACAAACATCAGATGAAAAACTTAAAAGCAAAAAAACCATGGAAACTCAGTCAAAATTAAGCTGGTTTGCTTCAGCCTGAAAAAAAACTCAGCTTAGAACAAAAAAGTCAGAAATAATTTTTTGAAAAATCATTTTGATTAGGAAAAAAATTCGAACAAATTGTAGACAGGTATGCTGAATGTACGGCGAATCTCAATGAATAAACGGCATACACCACAAAATATATATATTTTGATGGAAGCAGTATGTAAAATTTGAAATTTAAATTGAAACAATATAAGAAATATTCAAGAACTTAAAGAACTTTCAAATTGTCACAAGAATCTATTCAAATTTTTGATGCTTCAATTGGCTTGAAAAAGTAATAAAGCAGCCAGTAATTTCTATACAACTTCTTGGCGTTACCTGGAACAGCAATGTTTTCGATCGATTGCTATTTAGTTTCTGTACATTCTCTGGTTATCCACTTTTCTGGGTAATTATAAGCAGGGTTATGAGTGGGGACAAGTTATCCAAATTATGCACTGACAATGTATACTGCAGCAGATTAGTTTGAGAAAGGAACATTTTCAGACTGTTTTTTTTACACTCAGTGAAATTTGTGTTTCCTAAAACTTTCCGAAATCGAATTATGAAATTGAAATTGTCTTATTAAGATAGATCAATTGACATTCGATGAGGCACAAAACAGCGTGAAAATGGACAACCCTACACAACTTTTTGGTATTTTTTTTTAGCCAGGAAGTGCGGGACAAATTATTGAAACTGAGTCAAATTAGGCGTATACCAAGTCGACAACGGTTTTAAGTGATAACAGCTTTTTTTGAGTCTTTTTATTCGCATCCACCTATTTGTCAAAAAAAATTGAAAAGAATAATTATTCGAGCGATTGTTGTCAACAAAAACATAACTTTTTTGCGGTCCATATCATGATTGAAAGGTTTTTATTAATGATTAACCAAACAACTTTGTTCTACGGGTTTTTATGACAATAAGATTTGTCTAAAATTTAACACTGATTTCCAAAATTTTCCAAGCTTCCGCTAATTTTTTAGGACAAAAGAAATTATTGATAATTTTCATTTTTTAATTTTAAGCTAAGATGGATAAAAATATGGCCCCAGGTGTCAGTTTTTTCTCGGCAGTATTGACTCTCTGAAAGATAAGTGTCAAGTGTCAGGTGTGTTTTCTTGCTAAAGCCATGTTGGTCGCGCTGCGCTTTCCAAAAGAACTTCAAAAAAACCGTAGTGTCGAAAATTATTGGTAATCTTGAAATAGCAAAACTGGTCCGAAATTGGCTTTTAGACAAAATTTTTTAAATGTCAATTGTGTTGTGAAATGTTATTTATTTTCAAATAACTAGTTTCTGAAAAACTAAGTCCCTCCCATCTTTCCACTTTCCTCGCCTTCCAAAAACATAAGCAACACAAATAAATTGAAATGTACTTTCATTTTTTTGAAAAAACTTATTTGGCAAAGATTGATGTCGGAAATTTTCTGCGCTTCTTGCAGAGCAACCGACCATCCTTGTTATTAAATGTCCCTCTACCATATCGGATGTTAATTTGTGCCACCTAGTTTTTTGTGCAAAACAAAACAACTGAAGTCAAAGTTCCTATCCACTTGCAATTGTCAGAACAACAAAAGTAGCTGGTCGCTGTGCATGTACCACAGAAAAATCGGAACGCAGGCGTAAAAAAATAAACAAGAGCCATTTTTTTTCCAAAATTGTGCGTGAGTTGATGAGAGGAAAAACGTTAACCTGAAAATGTAACTTTGTTAAACATAATTTCATAATCGTTTACTAATTTTTTCAAAAAAAAAGAATTGAAATTTTTTAAATTATCGAAATCTTTTCGAAAAGTTTTCTAGGTGTTTGCAGATTTTTATATAAAATTAAAAGTTCTCTCTAATGCCAAGGAAGAGTTAACTCAAGCTTCAAAAAAATTTCCTCTTGAAAAAAACTTTTTCACGCAGATTTTAATGAAGATTTCTTTTTTTTGTAATTTAACAATTCTGAAGTTTTTTCATGTTAATTAGATTTTTAGATTTAATCAGGCTAAAATTAAAATTTTTAATCATTTTTTCCCAAAATTTGAATTTTTTTAAACCTAATATGATAAATCACTCGACCCATTTTGATGAACATGTTTGGTTTCTGATTTTACAATAAGTTTTGGCGTAGGAACGACCAAATAATAATCAGCATACTTATAAATCAACCTGATAAGAGATAAAATCGAAAAACACAAGCTATTAGGTCAGCACAAGCTTAGTTTTCATTCTTTGATTTTTTCCGTTTTTGTCCTCAAAATTGTTAATCAAAATTGGGTCTCAGAGGAATTTATTTGTTTCAAGAAACTCTAAAGAACGAATTGAACGAATTTTTGAAGGAACAGTGAAAATTTTTATGCCTCTCCTTAAAATTTCTGTATCTTGAAAACGCAATCAAACAGATTTTTCAATGATAACCTCAATCAATAATAACTAATTGTTTCTCTAAAAACAAAGGATTTAAAGAAGACATATAGGCGTATTTGTAATCAGATTAGGTTTTCTCTTTGATTTTCCGAGAAATTGATTGTGAACAACCTTATTCCATCAATCAATAGTCATAAACCGTGTTCGTGTTTGTTCACCTGTATCCTTCAACTTACCAAAAAAGAACATTAGGCCGTCAAGGTGGAACCTTTTCCCATCAATTTCAACCTTTTTTTCTTACTTTTTTTGAGCTCCTTTTCTGTTTAAACATGGCACCAAAAAAAATATTTTTAAAGGTCTAGCTCGTGTCAAGAGCCATTTTTTTTCCAAAATTGTGCGTGAGTTGATGAGAGGAAAAACGTTAACCTGAAAATGTAACTTTGTTAAACATAATTTCATAATCGTTTACTAATTTTTTCAAAAAAAAAGAATTGAAATTTTTTAAATTATCGAAATCTTTTCGAAAAGTTTTCTAGGTGTTTGCAGATTTTTATATAAAATTAAAAGTTCTCTCTAATGCCAAGGAAGAGTTAACTCAAGCTTCAAAAAAATTTCCTCTTGAAAAAAACTTTTTCACGCAGATTTTAATGAAGATTTCTTTTTTTTGTAATTTAACAATTCTGAAGTTTTTTCATGTTAATTAGATTTTTAGATTTAATCAGGCTAAAATTAAAATTTTTAATCATTTTTTCCCAAAATTTGAATTTTTTTAAACCTAATATGATAAATCACTCGACCCATTTTGATGAACATGTTTGGTTTCTGATTTTACAATAAGTTTTGGCGTAGGAACGACCAAATAATAATCAGCATACTTATAAATCAACCTGATAAGAGATAAAATCGAAAAACACAAGCTATTAGGTCAGCACAAGCTTAGTTTTCATTCTTTGATTTTTTCCGTTTTTGTCCTCAAAATTGTTAATCAAAATTGGGTCTCAGAGGAATTTATTTGTTTCAAGAAACTCTAAAGAACGAATTGAACGAATTTTTGAAGGAACAGTGAAAATTTTTATGCCTCTCCTTAAAATTTCTGTATCTTGAAAACGCAATCAAACAGATTTTTCAATGATAACCTCAATCAATAATAACTAATTGTTTCTCTAAAAACAAAGGATTTAAAGAAGACATATAGGCGTATTTGTAATCAGATTAGGTTTTCTCTTTGATTTTCCGAGAAATTGATTGTGAACAACCTTATTCCATCAATCAATAGTCATAAACCGTGTTCGTGTTTGTTCACCTGTATCCTTCAACTTACCAAAAAAGAACATTAGGCCGTCAAGGTGGAACCTTTTCCCATCAATTTCAACCTTTTTTTCTTACT